TAATTGTTTCTCGACTTTAAGACACACATATTCAGTCTCTGTCTTTGGTAGTGTGCTTAGATTGAGCTGTCCAGACAGAATCTAAATTCTGCCTATTTTTAGTTGAGCATGGACCTGAATGCATTTTTTTTTTGCTTTCATCCATGTCATGTGAAGCACAAAACCTTGATCACTGTCATGGCTGAATGGGCTGTTCAGTTTTTGCAATTCTTTTTTTTTTTATATATCGTTATAGTAAAACGTTTGCCTTTGTGTTGTTTGTCTTGTGTGCTGATGTCGCTTCCTGTTCGGCCCCTGCCATCTGTTTAAATCTTTTATTGACTGATTTTTCCTTATTGTTTCTCTCCTTCTGCCTCTCCCAAACTCTGGAAAAAGGAGTGGAGCATCTAGTACATTACTTCAGAGACACTGCGTGGTATAGTACTGCCTGTCTTTTCTCTAAAACACCCTCTCAACTCCTTCATCTTTTCTTTCTGTTTGCATGGTCTCTTACTCTGTACAGTGAGGACAGCCCATCTGCATCATACAGGTTCACACTACTGTCATTCTTAATATACTCTTCTTAATAGCTTTTCCATGACATTCTAATTTATTGAGATGCACCTGTATTTTAGATCACTTAACCCTAGCCCCAAACCTAAACATGACCACTTTTAAGGACACTATAAAAAAGAATATACTGTACAAAATATAATTTGGCAGAAAAAAGCATAATGAAATTTTAGTTTCAATATACCAATACATATTTTTTGAGCTTGTATTCCCGCTCTTCGCTCTTCAGAATCTGCAAAATGTTAATTATTTTACGAAAATAAGAGGGATCATACAAAATGCATGTTATTGTTTATTTCGTACTGACCTGAATAAGATATTTCACATAAAAGATGTTTACATATAGTCCACAAGAGAAAATAATGGTGGAATTTATAAAAGTGACCCTGTTCAAAAGTTTACCCTTGATTCTTAATACTGTGTTCTTACTTGAATGATCCACAGCTGTGTTTTTTTTTTTGTTTAGTGATAGTTGTTCATGAGTCTCTTGTTTGTCCTGAACAGTTAAACTGTCTGCTGTTCTTCAGAAAAATCCTTCAGGTCCCACAAATGTTTGGGTTTTCCAGCATTTTTGTGTATTTGAACCCTTTCCAACAATGACTGTATGATTTTGAGATCCATCTTTTCACACTGAGGACAACTGAGGGACTCATATGCAACTATTACAGAAGGTTCAAACGCTCACTGATGCTCCAGAAGACTCAAAAACTTTTGAACAGAATGGAGATGTGTACATTTTTCTTATTTTGCCTAAATATATATATTTTTTTCATTTAGTACTGCCCTTCAGAGGCTACAGAAGATAGTTACATGTTTCCCAGAAGACAAAATAAGTAAAATTTACCCTGATCTTCAAATTTACGTTACGTAAATAATGGTTAAACAATTACAGAAATGTTACTGATTTTAAGGTTTTAAGGTGTAGTCTTGTTAAACATAATGTAAACTGAACAGAATGAAATGTTATCATTTCAAATTAAATGAGTCAACTGTGTTAACATTTTTTTTATCGAAAACAATCTCAATGATCATAAATAGAATAGCATCAACCAATTAATTCCATATTTCACTTTTTATAAATTACGTAAATAATGGTTAAACAATTACAGAAATGTTACTGATTTTAAGGTTTTAAGGTGTAGTCTTGTTAAACATAATGTAATCCTTTGAAACAAATTTCACAAAAAGTCAAACTGAACAGAATGAAATGTTATCATTTCAAATTAAATGAGTCAACTGTGTTAACATTTTTTTTAATCGAAAACAATCTCAATGATCATAAATAGAATAGCATCAACCAATTAATTCCATATTTCACTTTTTATAAATAAGGATACATAAACGTGTATGTCGTTCATACGTTGGTAATTTACTTAAAGGGGTGGTTCACTGGGTTTTTTCTAGGCTTGATTGTGTTTATGGGGTGCAGTCTAACATGTTAATGTTTCGTTTAAAAAAAAAAAAAAAACCCCATTGTTTTTCACATAGTTTACCTCTATTTCACACCGCTCTGTCCCTTCTCTGAGAAACGGGCTGATCTTTTCCTGTTTTTATGAAGCCCCGCCCTCAGAAATAGGCGATGGGCTCTGATTGGTTAGCTAGCCATTGTGATTGGCTAAACCGCCTCTAGTGCGCGTCTAATCGTCCCGCCCCTCACCTCAACTCAGCGGCATGTGCTCCGGTTGTATTGTAAACAACGGCATCGTTAATATTGCTTATGAATGAGAGAGAGAGAAAGATGCAGAGCAGGGGGACGCGAGGAACAGGATTGAGAACCGCTGCATTAGAACATTGATTTTGAAACCTGTGAATCCATTAGAATCGTTAGAAGACAGAATCGCGATTCAAATATGAACAGATTTTTACGTGCACCTCTAGTTTTCTCTTCCTCTTCTCTAAAGCAGCGCAGCATGGCCTTGCCCCCTTTGCTGCCTTTTCCCGAGGGTGGGGTTTATCTGGGTTTGTGATGTCACGAACCCGGGAAGTAACTCGTTGTAGTCCCTACCAGACGTTTTTGTAGGCATTAAACTGCCAGAATTTTAAAAGATATCTCTGTTTGCGTTGTACTTTCAGCTTTGTAACTTTGCAGATATTGTTTATGCTCAAACAACATTACACACTAACTAACGTTAACAAAGTGAGATCGCAATGATCCACCCCTTTAATAGACACTATGGTCCAGTTTTACAAATCGCTTGCGTCAGTGCAAACCGTCTTTTTGCGTTAAAATAGTACTGTCAGGTTTTACTAAAAACACGCAGTGAAGAATTAGCACTAAAAAGGCGTGGACAGAGTTATATTTGCGCCTTATCTTATTGAATATGCATTTGTAGGAGTTTCCCTTTCAGATGCAAAATTTATGGGAGGAGAGTATTCAAATGAATCATGCAACGTGATTTACTTACGTTTACATTCGTCAAATTACTGGTATTTGCGCCGTTATTTAACGCCCAAAAAAGCATGTCTTGAAATGACTGCAGTTACTGTTGCTGAGGAGGCACCGCAGAGAACAGAGAGTGCGTGGTAGAAGGAAGAGGATTTCCACACGTATTCATTTATTTGGAATGCCAGAAGAACACATTATCCGAACATATCGTTTGCCAAGCCATGTTATTTTTAATATGCTTCAGGAAAAAAAAGACAACTTGGAACCCTCAACTAGGAGTCACGTCATACTAGGTCTATTAAAACTTCTTGCAACCCTTAATTTTTTTGGCCCCTGGTTCTTTTCAACGTACTGTGGCTTCTTTATTTCTTTATTCTTTATTTGCAACTACGCTAATTTGCGCTGCGCTTGGTAGATCGCGTTAGTCAATATGTAAATTAGATGTTGCGTCTGTGTTCTTTAATCTACACGTCGTTAGTAAATCACCCACAGAAATTTCCACGCCCATCGGCGCTGTTTTGGAATTGCGCTCTCGCGCTAATTTGCCTTATTTAGTAAAACTGGCCCTATGTCTGTGTATACGTTTGATTGTCTGTGCATAAGTAAATGTAAGTGTGGTATACCAGACCCCCAAGACTGAAACTAATACCAGATTCCCTAAAGCCTGAGGTATGCTTTGATTTTTCATCTGCTGTGTCATGCACAGTCAAGCATTTTAGTTTACTTTACTGAACATGAACTTATGCAGACATGTGACATGCAGTGGACAGTACTGAGTTGCTTTACACCAGGGGTGGGCAACTCTGCCAATGTACATTGTCCTGCAGAGTTTAGCTTCATCTTTAATCAAACACACCTGAAACATCTAACCAAAGTCTTCAGGATTTTTTGAATTGTACAGGCAGTTGTGTTTGATAAAGGATGGAGCTAAACTCTACATCCGAACATATCGTTTGCCAAGCCATGTTATTTTTAATATGCTTCAGGAAAAAAAAGACAACTTGGAACCCTCAACTAGGAGTCACGTCATACTAGGTCTATTAAAACTTCTTGCAACCCTTAATTTTTTTGGCCCCTGGTTCTTTTCAACGTACTGTGGCTTCTTTATTTCTTTATTCTTTATTTGCAACTACGCTAATTTGCGCTGCGCTTGGTAGATCGCGTTAGTCAATATGTAAATTAGATGTTGCGTCTGTGTTCTTTAATCTACACGTTGTTAGTAAATCACCCACAGAAATTTCCACGCCCATCGGCGCTGTTTTGGAATTGCGCTCTCGCGCTAATTTGCCTTATTTAGTAAAACTGGCCCTATGTCTGTGTATACGTTTGATTGTCTGTGCATAAGTAAATGTAAGTGTGGTATACCAGACCCCCAAGACTGAAACTAATACCAGATTCCCTAAAGCCTGAGGTATGC